ATATACATACTTACATACATATATACATACATACATACATACATACATACATACATACATACATACATACATACATACATACATACATACAGACATACATACATACATACATACATACATACATACATACATACATACATACATACATACATACATACATACATACATACATACATACATACATACATACATAAATACATGCAAACTTACATACATACATGCATACATACATACATACATACATACATACATATATACATACATACATACATACATACATACATACATACATACATACATACATACATACATACATATGTGACATTCGACCAGAATGTGAAAAATGCAATCTCTGCAGAATTCGGAATTTTAGCAGCAAGCCTTCCGGATTGGTGGTTTTTAAGAATTAAGGGTGTTATTGGAACGTTTAGCCAAACGGTGAGGGCTGGAATATTCTGGTATTTTAAATTTTCAAAAATTCGAATGATGACGTCACATTTCTGAGAAATGCTGAAACGGCCATTTTAACAAAAAGCGAGTTAAAAACAGAACAACTTTTATCTGCGATTGCGAACAGTACGAAAATCGAGATTGGAAAACGACAACGAACTACAGAATAGCAGAGAACGTTCCGAGTTGCAACTATTGTGCTGCTACAATAGTTGCAAGGCCGTTGCCAACAACGGTGAAGGGTGAGAACCAGCCTTCCGGATTGGCGTGAAATGGAACTTAAGGAGCTTGATTCCTGGATTCAAGAATCCGGAAGGGTCTCGGGACGGAAACTTTTATTAACTCACATAAACTTTTAGCATCCTGTCATGTCCTGACTTGAATTTAACTGATATTTTGATTAGTTTTGACAAGGATGAGGTGCTAAGAGTTGGGGGGGGGGGGAAGGGTTGATCCATCTTCGATGGAGATGATGATTTTTATCTACTGAACAAAAACAATAGTAATATAATAAGTAGTAGCCCTGTTTTTAGGAGTGACCTCGTGGTCTGGGGATACTGAGACCCAGCCATGAGCTCACTATTTTTGCATGTAATTCAGTTAATTTGAGCGTTCTGGTCGAAGCCGGAGAATAGTAACGTTTTTGTCGACCCGATGTTGGAAAAGACCACCGAAAAGTACTGGCTTGGTAGAGACGGTGAAAAACATGCAAAGCTCTGTTTAGACGCTAGCCAGTCGTCTTAAGACTTAGTTTTGTTATCCGTCGATATGTATCTTCCGGGCGAATGTTACATGTATGTTTTTATGGCGCTCCTGGGTGTTATTCTTTTTTAACATCATGACCGGCAGAACCGTTAACGAGCACTCCGCGCCGAGCGGATGCTCACATCAACGCCCTTAATAGGCCTAAACCGCCGGGGCGGAAGGGTAGTTCGGAACGCGGAGGCCTTCCGGATTGCCGTGAATAGTTTTTTAACCTAGTTAAGACCGAAAATTCACGAACCAGGAAGGGTGGGGGGATCGACCGTCCCCTCGTCCCCTGAGTGGTTGGTGACCAAAAACACTTAAAGATATAAGTAAAACCAAACAAAAAGTAGTATAGTACCCAAGAAAAACAAAAAACATAAAAAATAACCGAAAAAACCAAAAACAGTAAAAAAAAGTAAAAAATCAGTAGAAATCATCCCCCAGACAAGATGTGATTCAACCCCCCCGTTTGTTGTTGATAGATATATTGTTGTTACAGGCATTTATATCAGTCAGGATCGTTACTATCAATTTTGAGGCCCGTTTGTGAGGCTTGTACTGTAGGGTTATTTGAGCATTTAAGCACGTTAATGATAAATTGCGCTCAATCCGGAGGGGTCAGCTGATTTGCGCTCAATTCGGAAGGGTCTTGGGTGAAGACCGATCCGGCAAGCAGTACAAGGAGCAACAAGAAGGGGCTCAACGACAACAACAAACGACTGTTGGGTATCGTTAACAAGTTTTGTATCCCTTTTGGTACAAAAAGTAAGATAGTAATCTGTGGGGGGCTCGACAGTGCTGCACTGTAGTGACCCTTCACCGAACTGCGAATATCCGAGTTAAGCACCTTAATTCGGATAATAAACAAACCCGGAGGGGTATAGTATTACTAATATTATTGCTTATATAGCCTATATTAATAGTCTTATATCGTTTTTCAGTGAAAAACAACGAAAACAGACCGGTTTTTAGGGTCAAAATAGTGATTATTTCATCCCCCCACAAGTCGCGATTTTTGAGATATCGATATTTTTTGAAACGGAAAAAAGCGCTAAGTTAGTGTGTTACATCGGAACTGCACTACTGTAACAAGTAGAACCGGTTAACTTTAGTTCGGAAGTGGTTGGAACTAGTTTGGTACCAAAAACCAAATTTTCCCATTTTTTGATAGTAAGAAACACTATAAAATCAGAAAATTTTTTGAAATTTTTGAGTTACAACAGCAAAAATAGTTGTTCGGACAACGTCCACTAGTGAATCTTTTAAAACCCGCTACCCGAAAGCCTTCCGAGTTGCAGAGAAATCGAACATAACGTGTTTGATTTGGTGGATTCATCAATCCGGAGGGGTCCAGGTAGCATAGTTTTTCACAAAACTTTTCTACAAAAGCGTTTTATCTCGGGTCTTTTGCATTGAACTAGAAGAGTATAGGCCTTCTGAGCTCGGATCAATAATTTTTAGGTCGAAAGGACCAGATTTGCGGAAAAAGTTAGGCGGAACCTATAAGAGAGAAAATTTTTGAGTTTGGAAAAAAGACATTTTGGTTAATAACTTTGGAACTATAGAGCATATCGAGTCAATCTTGGTACCATTAGATCAGAAATTAGCTGAACTTACTAGTAAGAAAGAGAATTACTCGAAAAAGCGAGCGAGAAAATTTTTTGAGATTGTTTTTAGCAAATTACACAAATCCGGAGGGGTACACCCTTCACGTTTTATAAATTTTTTTTTTGAAAAACCTTTATACCCCTACCAAAAGTTGATAGCGATTGAACTAAGTAACTTAGGACAGTTCTAGACAAGAAGGGAGGGCTGAAGGCACAAGACAACCATAATAGAGTCGAAATTAGGCAAGTGATAAGACCCTTCACCGTTAGTGTGAATTGTCAAATAAGTGCCTTAACTTCAATCCGGAGGGGTCTAGGAAAGGATCCTATACCCTTCCCAGTTAATTCAAACAGCATAAGAGCAACGCAGAACGTATCCGGAGGGGTATAAGCTGAAATTAAGAAAACTACGAAAAGCTACTTTGACAGAGCTAAGGGCTCCGAATCCGGAGGGGTCTACTTTCCACAAAACCGGAGGGGTCCGAATCCGGAGGGGTCTTATAGTTGCTAATTCGGAGGGGTCCAAATTCGGAGGGGTCTACTATTAACTAACTCGGAGGGGTCCCAATCCGGAGGGGTCCATATTCTGACAGTCCGGAAGGGTCCTATTTGTGCCAATCCGGAGGGGTATTATTTTATTAAGGACTTAGGTAAACGAAAGAAAGACTAAAAAGCGAGAGGTATTAGGTTATTAATACACAGGCTAGGTATCAGTGACTGCACTGGTAACTTGCCTTTCAAAAAGAACCAGACTAATACAAAACAGGTCCGAACTCGGATATTCGCGACACTAAGTCTAAATTAAAAAGAGCGTGACTCATTGGTGTGGATTGAAACATAATACGTTTTTGGGAAAAGTGACTGCCCTGAGGATTTTAGTAGGTCTAGCTCGGGCAGTCCGAAGGCAGATAGGTAACACAGTACTCGGTGGGTGCAATAGACGCCCACTTGAGAAAATTACTGCCTTCAAAGTTTTGTCTGTTTGGTGCAGCACCAAGCAGGGAAAGCTTTTTCTTTAAAAGACAGGTTCGACTATTGTACTGCGACCGACTAAGAGTACAAGACACATACGTTTTTTTATATATACATTCATATTGTGTCAATATATATTTTTGTTTTTGATTTTAAATCAACGTAAACTGTGCTTGATTAGGTAGTGAATACACTATCTTTTAAATTGACTGATAACATCATATTGTGCTAGTTTCCAGATCTTTGGACCGATAAACGGTCAGTGTGAATAAATTTTATACAAACTGTACTCTGACAACATACAGGGATTCGTGGTCACTATTTAATAGAATCTGGTGAAATTTATTGTGTTGTGTCATTATTATTGTTAATAAAACTATAAGGTCTCTAGCAATTGAGTCAAGAGTAGGCATAGGAAAGTGACAAATAGAGAATGAGTTTAGACAAGTCAAGGATACCAAAACGAGGTAATAGCTCTAGGAAATTCATACCTGAAAAGCAAAGAAAAACGATGACCGATCCTTTTGTGGATTGGATCAAGCGATCCCGGTCTGACAAAAGGGGGACGGTTTCAGGCAGGATGGTTGAAACGAGAAGTCAAAAGACCTCAGAAGAGCGAAGAGAACTGTTAGAAGTGGAGGTCAATACGGACCATAACATGAATGACAACCAGGAAGTAAATGAACTGGAAGGGAGAGGCAGAAGGCTGGCGAGTGAATCTACCCCGGTAGAACAAGGCCATGATTTTGCCACTTCCACCGGGACATTGGATCGAGAGGAGATGTCGGAACTGTCCGACATCTCAACTGAGGTAGCGGCAACGAGAAGATCTCCGACAGACAACACTATGATGGCAAGCGGAACTGGGAAACAAACAACGTCATCATCATTCTCAGAAAGAATGAAGAACACCTTCGGGAACATCTTTCCATTTAGCATGGGAGGAGGAGCAGGCAACGATGGTGAGTCCCAGGAGGAAGAAGATGAAGAGGAGCAAGGGAACTATGGATCTAAAGTCAGCCTCAATAGTTCAGTCCAAGAGAGTGAGGCACACGTCGGAAGAGAGACTGGAACCACGGACAAATTTGGTGTAGTGACAACTATAAGCAAAGAAGCAAACACACCAGGCCAGTCAAAAGACTTCACGATGAGGGCAAGTTCGGAGCAAGAACCTGGTGAGAATAGAACCAGAGGGCTCGGCAACGCGTTAAATGACCCCGAAACAAACAATGAAAAGACGTTGAGGCAGCGAGTCAAGGCCCGGATCTCGACAAGCACGAAGTTACCTGGGACCGACAGGGTTACACCACCACTAGTAACGCCACTGGTGGATAACGGGGCAGCACTAGAGGAAGCCTTAAACAACATAGTGGACAGTTTAGGAGAACAAAACGAGCAAATGTCAATAAGGATGAGTGAACTAGAAAGAGCAGTTCACATTGAGAGAGAAAGGCTGCGGGAAGAACTAAACCGCAACAGAGAAGAAGTTGACAGGAGCGAAAAACGCTTGAAAGAGAGAACGGATGAACATATGACGAGGAACTTGTCACGAATGACAAGAGAGGCGGAACAGAGGGAGTTACGCTTAAGAGCCGACATGGAGAAGTTAAGAACTCAGCAAGAGCAGTCTCTTGGGTCTCTTGACACAAAGATAGATGCGATGATGGAGAGGCGAACTCAGGCTATCATGGATAGGTTGGACGGGCTACTAAGCAGCAAGAGTGGACCAAAAGAAGGAGAACCGAATTCGGGAGGTCCCAGCAGGGAACCGAAAGTGAACTTCAATGAACATCAAAAGAGGAAAATGTATGGATCCACTAGAGGCAGGGGCAGTTCATCAGGCTATGCCACAAGGGGTAATGCAGCATGGGTCCCGAACAGTAGAGCAAATTCAACGGGGAACAGACAAACCTCTAACGAACGACCAACGCAAGGCACACATGCGACTGGGAGAAGTGATTCCGGCAACAGGGGGCATGCAAGCCCGAGGAGGAGTCACGTGGGCCAAGCGGGAAACGCTTACGGCGATTCGGATTGCAGGGATGCACCGCATACAGAGCCTTCGACGAGGTGTGAGGACACTCAAGCGGGACACTCAAGGGATGCTACGGCAATGGCCACAGCATTTGAACCCCTGAACAGGTCTTTGGAGACATTCCTGACGCGGTTATCTAGAACCAATGAACGCAGTGAAAAGTCCAGAAGAGTCTTTAAGAAGCCAAGATGCTACAAAGACGAATCTGATGGCTGTATTGATACCTGGATAGAGGTAATGAAGCTGCATTTCGAGGAAGAAGACTTGTCTGAGAGACAGGAATGCAGCGCGCTCACCAGCAACTTAGAAGGGACAGCCCTGAACTGTGTCATAGCCAAGAAACAGTATCAACGTGACACTGCAGAGAAAATCTTCGAAATCTTGTTAAACCGTTTCGGATCAGGGGTGCAGGGGCACCAGGCGATGATGCGCTTCGAGAAACGGAGGCAACGGGAAGATGAAACCATAGACAAGTTTCTCGATGATTTGGAAATGCTGAGAAGACGCAGCCAACCGGATGAGTCAAACCGAAAGATGAACCTGGCCGTAGCCTCAAAATTCATCGATGGTGTGAAAAATGATGAACTTCGTACGATGCTAGCAACGCATTACACACCACTATCAACTAATGCGCCAACACCGGAGGAGTTGAGGCTCAAATCAAAAGAGTATCTGTTGTTGAAACCTCCTTCGAGATCTGGATATTACAAGAACAATTATGGCAATTTTAACAACGGACCAGCAAACCAAGGGAACAATTGGTACAAACCGAGGGATGATATGGACAAGAGACGCTCTTGTGCTAATTGTAGTCCAACAGACCATCATGTGTCAGCATGCCCAGCTTACAAACAAGGCATGAAAGCAATAGGCTTTAGCCTCGAGGACGAAGATGCGTCAGAGTTGGACCATGAGGATTTCATGAGAGGTGTAATTGCGAAATTCGGCCCGAGGTGTTTCTTTTGCAACTTGGAAGGTCATTTTAAATCAGATTGTCCGCAATTCTGGGATGCAGTGGCAGACATCAAGCATCCAAGGCATGAAGAAGCTTTGTCAGGAGTGAAAGCAAGCAAGGCTCGACTTTTGAGCGAAGCAGAGGCACGCAAGAAGGACAAACCTCAAGAGCTGGCGGCAAAGAAAATGCAAGCGGTAACAGAAGAAGCACGTGAACCGGAACCAGCAACTGCGGCCGATGACTTCAAGATCGATTATAAGGCAGCCGCAAAGGATGCTCTAAATAGAGTACAGCAGGAATTGGTGACGAAAGAGATCGAACAAAAAGTGAAACTTGAACTGGAAAAAGAAAAGCTTCAGGAGCAACTGAATACCTTCGAGGCAATGGAGTTCGAGGAGACGAAAACACCAAGCAGTTTAGATATGAAACTTAAAGTGATCTCCGGTAAGAGGTTCGGCATGGCGCCGCAGGGAAAGAAGATACAGTCGATAATCTCAGTGGCTGGACACCAGGTAATAAGAAATTTGAGTGAACCATCAGAGTTCACTTTAATGCATTTGGACACATATGCAGATTATCTGAGGCAGGTGGAGCCACGCACTGAGTCGAGAGCTGTGCGAGCACTACTAACGACGGGTGGCCCTCGCATGAAGAAACTTCATGGACGCTACTTGGAGGTCTATGGGCCGTATCAAATAATGCTGAACGTGGATGGAATCAGCATCTACACCAGGACTTACATAACAACAGATGATGACCAAATGGGGCAGATCTATTTGGGTGAAGAGGAACTCAAAGTCCGCAGGATAGGCCATGACGCCATGATGGAACAAGACGCAGTACATATTGGATATGAAGCAGATGTGACAGCACACCTGCTTGACACCAACGGAACAAAAATCGGAGTCACAGGGCTTCTGGACACAGGCGCGGTGGTGAGTGTGATGCCGATAAAAACCTGGGAAAGAATGGGCTTCACGCGGGAAGATCTGATTCTAACGAATCTCCGACTAGCCGCTGCAAATCGAGGAGCTATCTACGTAGCCGGAAGAACACTGGTAACGGTCCTTCACATGGGAGGACGGAACCTTTGGATGAGCTTCCTGGTGGTAGAGAATCTGGACGACGCCGACCAATTCATCTTGGGCAGAGATTTTGTCAGGAACTTTGACGTGATGATTGACTTGAACAACGGTCTAATACGGATTAGAAACCCGGACCGAAAGTATGTTAAGAGACCAATTAATAGGATAATAACAGACGAGAATAAGGTACCAGTTTTTTTGGATAGAAAAGTAAAGTTACAACCAGGACAATCGTGTGTTAGAGTTATTGAGTGTGAAAACTTGAAACTGAAATTCATTATTTTAAACAATTCTTCGTGGGCGAGCTGTGCGAGTGTGGATAGAATTTCTGTGCAAATGAATAAAAATATCAAAAGGTTAGTACTGCAATCGCATTTTATTAATTTACTGCATAGAATTTGGAAATTTACTGCTAGTTATGGGGGAATTTTAAGATACAAATTTTCATCATAATTAGATTTACTGCTGTTGGGGAAAATTTATAAATTAATTTACTGCATTGGTATTATATTTATTTAATTGTTGGTGCAAAAGTTTAATAGGGTCTTAAACAGTTTTGAAGAAGTTTGCTATTTTTTATTTTTCTTTTGTGAATTTTTCAGATGGTCTAGGATGAAGGCTAAAAATCTAAAGAAAACATGAATAAAGAATGGTGAGTTTTTAATATTTTAACTAGTTAGTGATATCATTTAATTCATACTTACCTGTTAGTCGTCGGGGAAAAAACCGTGGGGGAAGATGTCGTGAATTAGTTCTGAAGTGGTTAGTAGTTTAGCTAGAATGCGGATGATATTTTTAGTCTGAAGTAGTGGCCAAAGCAATTGAAGTGCCTTAATAGTGGTTAGTTCTTCAGTGCCTACTGCAAACTCATAAGGTGTGTTTTGGATTAAGTTATATAATTTGTGGTTAAATTTCGTGTTGTGGATGAATTCTAAAATTGGGATTTCTATAGGCTGTACAAACTCGTGCGGGATAAGGAAGGGTCGGGATTCTTCGGCGTTGAAGGTCTTGGTGATGGGGCAGAAAATGTACATTTGGGTTATGGGGTCATAATTACGAAGAATACCATGGAGGTTAGTGTCTTTAATACAATATGTGAAATTTAGGAAATACGGTGAAGTGTATTTTGAATTGATGAATTGAAAACGATGGTGTGGTTGTCTAGAGGGTGTGTGGAGGTCAAAGTGATTTTGGATGAAACGATAGTAACTGTATGTATGTGTTTGTTTAGTTCGCAACATAATATCATGTGAGCAGTGCAAATCTCTTTCGTGTGGTGCAAGGAAATGAAAGGTTAGTGAAAAGATTTGGAAGCGTTCTTTAAAACTTTCGTATGCTTGTGTGTTTGTTAGTGCTTCTGAAATAATGTGATCAAACTTTCGGTCGAAGATGTTTAGTGTAAATACATATGGTGTCTTGATGAAAAATTTCTCGGTGATTTGTGGATTAGCGAAGCGATCGTCGTCTAAGAATTGATCTTGGTTAGCTCTAATGATGTTGTGATCGTAGTATTCTAGTGTATATTCATTAGCTCTAGGTGCAGTGTGTATTTTTAGTGATTTTTTATATCCAACGTAAGTAAACTGTCTAGCGGTTAGTGGTGTAGTTAGTCGATATAGCGTGTCTTTGTTTCGTTCTATATCGATGGAAGTGTTGGATAAAGGTAAGCAAAGAGGGTTAGTGAAATGATAGTATGAGGTCCAAGAGAGAGTGGGCATTAAAACGTATTCATCTACAAAGTTGCGTGTTTCGTTAGCGTCGTGAGGGGTGTTTAAGGTGTATTGTGGAAACGAGGGTAAAGTGATAGCTAAAAAGTCTTTAGTGTTAGTATGCTGGGGGTGGTTGATGTATTCACGGGCTGTTCCTGGTTTTGCTGGGAAAGGATGGTTGGGGAATTTTCTTTTAAAAGTGCGGTAAGCTCTGTTAGTGTTTAGCGAAGATATAGTGGATGTGGATGATGGTGTTAATGATTCAGTATAATTTGAAGAGGGTGTAGGGGGATTGGATGAATTTGTAGTG